AGGGCAGCATGTGAACTCACTCCCATTCAGAACAATGGGGGGTAGCAGCCAATTCAAAAGAGGGCAATTTTTCATGGAATTCTCTGTAATAGAACTTTATCTCCAGCTCCTGCGGAGGGAGGGACTTTCAGCAATAGTTTAAAATGACCATTTATCTGCAAAATAAATAAAAATCTTCAAATATTAGTCTATGCACAAATTCTCGGTGATCTCTAACTGTATGAGAAATTTGAAGAGTCTGTGTTGTTTCCTTAATAAGATAATTGAGGTTAAATAAAAAGGTCTGACACTGGATACTACATTTCTTAAGGGACTCATTTTTACCAAATTAATTTACTCCTAAAATTAATTAACAGATTTACTTGTAAATTCTCAGAAAATTCATTCTTCTCTGAGTAAGTGCTGAGAGTTTGGGGAGAATAATCTGTATTTTTCATAAACAGAGGTTGCATCCCGGCTTTATGTACAAAATGTAACTCTACCTTCACTATGGACCCATGATTGGCACCTATATAATTCTAAAACATATAGTACGAAGCTTAGTTTTTGCTAAGTACAGTGGGAAACCTTAGAAGACAGACCTCTTATACATTTGGGAAATTAATGATAAACTTACCACAAGGATGTGTTGGAAAAAGAATTACATTTAACAGGATTATGAATGTACTGTATGAACTGGTGTTAAACCTTATGTTGCCCTACAACAAATTGCTGCTTTTACCCATAGGATGCCATTTTGGTCTCTGGGACTCACTCTATATGAGATTAATGAGCATTGTAGCTTTTATTATAACATTTGTAGAAGTACTGCTAAAGTCTGTCTTGGCATATTTCAACTTCACACTGTTATATTTTACTCATGCTTTTGGTTTTCTTTGTAAATTGTTCCTTACTGTTGTTCAGAAAGACAAACTAAAACTATATTCTCTATGGTTAAATGTATTTTCAAATCAATAAAATCCTGGCTGTTGTTTATTGCTGTGCTTTTACTGACTAGAGGCACTAAGAAAGGAGTTGTGGAAAGTTTTGTATCTCTTTTAGCCAGATTCTTCACTGCCTTTTGCCATCAGTTACACCTGTGCAAATGTTATCAAATGGAATAATGTTTTACACACAGGATGCAGTCTTAATGTTCACAGGTATCAATGATGATGCAGGATCAAAGAAGTGGAGAATCAGAACCTGAATCTGTAGTCACAACTCTCATTGACAAGAAAGCTTTTCATGGGTCAAATGTACATGGTGGGTCTTGTCACTTACAAAGATCAATGCTTGAACTGAGTTCCTTTCTTTCAAAAAACTCTTTGAGCTTGTCAGGAAAGCGACATACAGCTGAATCCTAATCAACCCTCCGAAGATACTGAGATGTTCAGGAATCAGTAGAAGAGGGAAACAGGTTGGCAGCTGGTTGGAAATGGAGGTTTGGATAATTGAATCTCTTGTGCGGCACATGCACAATCTAATTCTCTCCAGCAATCTCTTTTCAGCTTTGGCACTGGTTTAGAAGCTGTTTCAGCAGCATGGATAGAAAAGAAGAAGTCGTCTTAGAAGTGCGTCCTCCTAGAACACGGTGAGACAATTACATGTTGCTAGTGAAGATCATCACTCTTGTGGGGAGTCAGGAGTGATTAGCAAAAATGCAAAACATTTGTCATTCTCACCCTGTGTCCTTCATAAACCCCCAAAGACATCTTTGGCAGGTGGAAACCCACTCAACTTGGACCTGAGTCACAGACCATTGAAGGCAGTGGGAGTCTTTCCACTGACTTCAATGGACTCTGGATCTGGCCCTTTGTACACAAATATTAGCCAAGGAAAGGTGGTGGATATCACCAGGCTCTTCTTTCTCTCCTTTGTACCCTTTTGGAAGATGAAGTAGAATTCCTCTACTGGTGCAGCTGTGTCTAGTCCTCTTTGGGTTGTTGCTCAGGTTGAAGGGCAGGAGAGGAGAGAATGAAGAGAGAGGTTTTCTAAGCTCTTAGTTGTCCAGGAACACTGCATGAATGATGCATCCAGTTGCCAATCCATCTGAGGCTTGTATGATGTACTTGCTTAGGGAGATAGAGATACCATCTGATTAATGCTGACACAGAATTCAACTACCACATCATATCACCTGCTTTTGCATCTTGACAGTGAATGACCTGGATTAGGATAGAATTATAAAACCCTTAGGCATGTCTGATGTGTCGCATCAGCAGCAGTATGTGAGTGACACTATGGACTGAGTTCAAAATACTGGATGGAAATGTTTTGTTTGGAAAATGTGAAAATAAACATTCAGATAAGAATAGACACAAATGACATAATGCTGAAAGGGACAGATGTTTAAATACCAGTGTCTCTGGTGCATCTTGGAATTACAGCTCAGGCTTAGTCTCTTTCCAAAGCTTGGAAGCTGAGCTATAGATCCATGTGAATGCAGAGATAGAAATAGATCTAAACAGAGTTACAGATGGTGAGAGCTGCAGAGCTAGCTAGATACAGAAATCTCTGCAGGGAAGCATGTTACTAAAATGCTTCCAATCGAAATTGTGATGCTCCAAGCTTTAAAACATTGTGCGTTTCACCCTGCTTCTGTATTGCCAAGCTCTCTGTCCTGCTGTGGGCAGCCACCCTTTGTGGCCTGGTCTCCTGCAAGCACCTCTGACCGTGGGGCATTCAGCATCTTGCACCATCAGGCCACACCTCCCCTTGACTTTAATAGGAGTTGAGGGCACTCAGCACTTCACAGGAGCAACCCATATGCCTTATGCATCTTGCTGGTGCTGTCCCACTCATGCGTGCAGCTTCCTCCCCACCTTAGCACCAGCAGCGCTGCTCTGAAGGTGGGTTACAGCCTGACAGAAGTAAACACCCACTCTTTGCCTAGCAGCTCTTACTCACTGCCTCATCTCCTGCCTTTGTGGCGTTGGCAGACTGGTGCGTCACTCAGTTCGCATACCACTCCAGACCTCCTACCTGGCCTTCCTGGGAGGATAAATCTCCCAGCTAACAAAATAATCCAAACGTTATTGACCAGAACATCCAACTACTTGCCAACTCAGATCCCTGAACCCAAAGAAGCTGACTACAAAGAGCGGCAGCCCAGAGTATCTTTTAAAATTGTACTAGCAACAGGTGTCCCTAACACACAATTCGTGCATTACATTCATTCTGCCTATAAACAGCCTCAGAGTGTCAGAGGACATCAAATCAAAATAGAGCTCGCTGCTGAATCCTGGAATGTAACATCTTCAGAGATGCTTGTTCTGGTGCCTCTTGTTAATTGTGTGTGTTTTAAGGGGGCATCTAGATATTTATAAAGGGGTTTTTCATTACTGCACCATCAGGAGAGATGAAGAGTCATCAAAACAACTCATTGTTTATACCATACCATAATTCCACAAATATAATCCAAAAGTGAAAATCTCAGAAGATTTACCCAGTTGTTCCTGTAACATATTTTGTTCCTAGTCTGGAAAGAACTTGTACAGTTGCTGTGTGAGAGAAACTAACACATGCTTGTGTTATCCAAGTTGCAATTAGCAGTAGTGCAAACTGTTTTAATCTTCAATGAGGCATGTTTAGGATTATTAAACTGTTGACAAGGGAAGTCTCCAATGTGTATCTAAAAATCATTGCAATGTCTGGGACTCTCTAAAAGTGCACTTCTTGCTTTAACCCTTTTAGCTCCAACTCTTTGTAGCAGGGAATACATTTACTCTTTTGCAAAGCGCAGTGTATATTTATAGCAGTATGATTACTGCTAATGATATCCTGCATCATGTTGTGCAGTGTTTTCTCCAGTTTCCTATCAGTATCTCAGTAATACTCTGTTGGGAAATGGGATTGCCTCAGAGGTGTGGCTTCCTCTTAATAAGGTAGGATTGGTGAGAAGTATTCTGACTAGATCTAAATATCTTATGTCTGTGCCATATGTAGGCTTTAGTAGCTCAAGGATTGAGATTTTCAATTTCATGCAAATCCAGAGCTCTTCATGGCACTGGAGTACCCAGCAACACAGTGGTGTCTCCTCAGCAGAACTGTTCACTACGACCCAGTCAATTGCACCTTTGCTACATCAGCTGCACCAGTGTTGGGCCCAATTTGCCTTTACTACTGGTGATAATGCACAAGATGGAATGGAACCAGCTTGACTCTTAGATCCCAGGGTGAGTTTGTGGAGGAGTTACAGGGAGTGAAAACCAGCCCTCTTGCTTGTGAACTGGAGACAAAAAGCAAGAACCCTCTTGATGCTATTGCTGAAGGTGTCTGTCAGAGGAGATCTGCACCTGTTTGATCTCTCCAGAACTTCCTGCCTCTCCCCTCCGCTTTCAAGGTCCCATTGCTTTTTCTTTAACTCCCTCTCCTGCCAGGGACATCTCTCTTCCCATCCCACCCGCAGTAGGGCTCCCCTCTTTTCACTGCCAGATCCATCTGCTCCCCTTTTCACCACTGCCTAGCCTGTACCTGGCTACAGCTCTGCCTTTTTCTCTCCATTCCCTGCCCCTTTCTGGTCTCCAGTGGTGCCCTGGCTGTCTAACCCTGTCATTCTCTGGAACTGGACAGATGCTGTCTGCCAGTGCTCGTTAATCAAGCCTCAGCCAGATGCTGTTCTATGCTACTGCTGTGCTATGAGTCTGCCTGCCAGGACTCCCAGTGCTGTCACCCCTGAGCTTCCCCTTGCTCATTCCTTCCTTTTCAGCACAGACAATGGAAACCGATCATTGTAAAGAATGAAACAAAGCTGCTTTGTGTGAAGAGGAGACAAAGTTTACCAACTGCTATGGGAACAATGGGTCAGGCTCTCAGCTACCGGCTGTGTAGCTCTTTGACTTCAATGGAATTATGCAGATTTACACCAGCTGAGGATTTGGCCCACCATTCTGCTAGCATTAAGGTGGGGGTTCCTTGCGGCCTGGTGCATGTTGGGTAAGAAAAGGCTATGCCCTGGTTTTGTTTATCTGTACAAAACCATGGAGCTGTCAATCATAAAACACTAGTTTTACTGAAGGATTTTATTGTTCATCTTCTCTTACTAGAATTATACTTTCTGTAGCAGTAGAGAAAAAGATCTTGGACTTGACCTCATTTAAATTGTATCTGCTGATGACTGGCAGTTAACATGGTAGTACGACATCCAGGAGAGCCACCATGTAGTCTCAGCCAAGCTTATATTTCCCAGCATTGTATGTGGAGAAGGAACCACCAATTTCATTAGCAAATGCAGAATCCAAACTACATGGAAAAATCAGTAGTCCCAAGATTGTGCCAATCACTGGCGGGAGGTAAAAAACAAGCAAGCCTGCAATTATACCAGTGCAAAAAATGACAGAGCTTCCAACATCAGATAACAGGCAGTTGGAAACCACTGAGTGAAGATCCTGCTTCAGAAAGTAGTTTGTTCATTTTTTGGAGGGGTGATGAGGGGAGACTTGGCTACAGAAGACTTGAAGAGAGGTGAGCATGGATTTCACACAGGCAGATGTATCCATGAACTCGCATTATCATTATCGCTGCCACGTTGGCTCAGTTTGCTGGACACCACCACTAACCTGTGGGTGTCACTGGAGCTTTCAGGAGCATGAGTGACAGACAATATGAATGAGGCTAGAGTTGTAATGACCCGAAGGAACAGCTCCATCTCCTGAAAGGTAAATACCTGCAGCTGTTTGCAGATGTTTTGCAGATAACCCTCCTCTGGCAAAGTCCCTGGGATATAAAAATCCAAGACAAGGTAAGAACTGTTCCAAATGCTAGCAGCATCCAACCTCCAAAAAGCAATACAGCTGCAATCTGAAACCAAATATGGGTCTCTTTGTTCAAGAAAAAGCTTGGTGGTCCTAGAACATTAGAATATAGTGTTGATTGCCAGACTCCTCACTGGAATGACATTATCACCTCTGCTAGGCAATAGATAGGCCCACTACCCCTTTTGGTGTTAAAATTAGCCTCCAGCTATTTAAGGAGTCCCCATATCTCTGACGAATGTGTCAGACTAAATAGAAGTGGGTCTCTGCTATTGGCAGGTATATTTTAATACTGAACACTACAGTCACAAGAGAGGAATCAGTGGAACAGCCCCTAGTGGATTTAGAGTGCTCACGGTGCTTCTGCCTCCAGGTTTGATGCTGGAATTTTGGAGCCCTTTATTTTGCAAGCTGGACAAGTGCCTTTGGATATTTTTAAAATGCCAAGCAAAGGGACCAACTGCACATGAACTAGATTTCAGGGAAATACAGTCAGGCACTGGGTTCTTGGTCTTTGTTTTCTTGGCCACTCCCACCCCTGCTTGATGGATGTGACCTCTCAGGCCTTATAGTGCCAGCAGTTAATTGCATCTGCAAATTTGTATCTGTAGTTAAAACAGACACAAAACTAAAGGTTCACTTGAAAATGCGGCTTGCAACATTAATTGGGTTAATTTATTAACATTCAGTACTTTGAACATTATAAAGTACTATTGTAAAGTGCTAATTACCTGTTAATAATGCTACTGGTTCTTTAACAGTAAAAAGAACAAAAGGGCCAAATATCCCTCTGGTTTGAGCCCCAGGAGGTGAGTCAAACAAGTCACATCAGGGAGGAATCTACAGGCACGGGTTGTGCTTGTCCGTTTGCGTATCTTGTGGACCATGTACCTTCCAGGAAACAGCAGGGATATTCTCTAGAGTCCTGTATATGGTGCACATCTGCGTATCAGGAGCTTTTGAGGACCAAGAGCCGTGGGTAAAGACCCCAAATGACGTGGGCTTGTTTCTGACTCACGCAGGGGATGTCAGACTGAAGCTGAAAATGCAGGCCAAGGCCAGGGAGAAAACTGCCCAGACGTGATGCCACTGTGGATCTTGTGGAGCTAATTTCGGAATGAGTGACACTGCATTCTGACACTCGCATGCATTCAGGCCATCAGCCCTGAATACCCAGAATGCCGTATGCTGCAAACATACCCTCACGTCTCCCGACTCCCGGTATATCCCCTAATGCTTGAGGTTGAGGGGTGACGTAGGGTTGTTGTGGCCATTCTATGCCAGGTGGGGAAACTTCTTAATGAAGGTTTTCTCAGGGGACATTTCTGCCCCCTTTATAGTCCCTGTAGTCTGCCAGAGTGGCTTAAAGGGGCTGCGGTGCCTTTGCCTTCTTGCTGCAGTGCACTCAGAGCAAAGAGAGACTATCAGCAAATATTACAAACAGGACAAGGCGAGAGCAAGACATCTATGCTCAGAGGCCAGGAGTAAATCACCAGCTGCCTGCATTTGTCCTTGTAAACTTGAGGGCCAGTAGCTTTTTAATCTATGCAGAATCTACAGAAATCTGTATTTCCAGATTTTTAGTAAAAAGCAACAGAGGGTCCTGTGGCACCTTTGAGACTAACAGAAGTATTGGGAGCATAAGCTTTCGTGGGTAAGAACCTCACTTCTTTTTTGCCGCCCCAGGCAAAAAAGCCTCCGGCCCGCCCTCCCCCCCCCCCCGGGGGGGGGAGGGGCGGGCGGAGCCCTGGGGGGAGGGCGGCGAGCCCCGGCGGGGGCTCCGCTCTCCCCCCGGCGGCCGGGGGCAGGGTGCCGGGGGGGAGGGCAGCGAGCCCGGCTGTGGCCCCGCTCTCCCCGGCGGCCGGAGCGCCGCGCCGCCCCCCTCCAGGTGCCGCCCCAAGCACCAGCTTGGTTGCCTGGGGCTTGGAGCCGGCCCTGGGGGTGACTTGATTACAGTTTATATGTCCTTACATGGGGAACAAATACTTGATAATGAGTGCTTCAATCTAGCAGACAACATTTTACACCTTATTTCCAGTCTGAATTTGTCGACCTTCAACTGCCAGACACTGAATCATGTATATTGAGGGTAATTAACCATTGGAACAATTTACCCAGGGTCATGGTGGATTCTCCATCACTGGTAACTTTTAAACCAAGATTGGATGTTTTTCTAAAAGATCTGTTCTAGGAATTATTTTGGGAAAGTTCTCTGGCCTGTGTTATACGGGAGGGCAAATCAGATGATCACAATGGTCCAATCTGGTGTTTGAATCTAGTGTAACTCAGATCTGTATTTGGCCCAGTCACTGGCAGGGCAGTACTTGGATCTATGGCATCTGCAGTTAACCTATTTCTCCACTGCAGGGCACTGATACACTACATGAGAGAAACAAGACTGGAGGAACAGATCCTAGTTGAAATAGTGTTTGATACTCCATCACAGTTCATGTTATTCATTTTACAACTTCATTTTGTGTGATCTCTTTTCAGGCTGTAAAGTCTGACAAAGTTGATAAAAAACCCAACAACCTGAAAACACTCATAATTTATTGGATCTTATGTGTGGTTATTATGACAGCAGAAACAAAGTTCACTTATCAGTAAAAGGACTGTAATTAGCAGTGCCAATGATATATTGGTACATCCTAAACTGCTAAGACGTGTTCTTTATTTTGATGGTAAATTCTGTATTATTTTTAAAAACCAGAAATGCACAGATTAATTAGTTCTATTATTTGTATAAGGGGTAACGTTCTCCTGAGTTGAATAGAACTTGCGTATAATTGCATTGAGATTTCTGGTGAAATCATAAACCAAGGGTGCAAAGTTCAAGTGTCTGTGTCCATTGCGTGTTGCAGTATCCGCTTGCTATTGCTGTCACCACTCTGGTATGGAATTACAGCTTTAATTTATGTACACAGGATGGGACTCAATATTTAACATTATCCAGGGATTTCAGTTAATCCCTATGAATCAAATACTCATTGCTGAGGAGGGGGGATTTATGTAAGGAACTGGGGTACCATGAGGGGAAGGAATCCTTTTCCATATGCCACACAATGACAGTGGAACTTTGCTCTACATGAGCGACTGCACTCCACCCATGGAAGGTAGGCGAATGCTGGTGGCACTCCAGCCTGGCTCCAAAACCTCTGTGAACTGGCTCCAGCTTTGCTCATCCATGTACAAAGTACTCAGATCCTCTGGGCAGGATCTCAGCATCCTCCTTCCTCAATGCCCCTGGAACTGCATTGGTTCCCCCCTGTGGTCAGGTCCCCACCAAGCGACAAGGGCTTGGGGAGGGGATAGGATTTGGGCCCTTGCCTTTAGACTGTAAACACTTCAGCATAGAGTCCTGCTTGTGCTATTTCACCTATCCTACAGTGCTATGTACACCTGTGGCATTATGTATGGAGTTGGTGCCAGCAGCCTGCTGGATCTTGAAGCATCTGAGAAGCGAGTTCCTATGGCTGTAGTTGAAGCTTTAAAAGTGTCATCTCTTTGGGCATTTTCATTTTCAAAACTTCTAAAAGCTACAGCTGGGGTTTTCCCCTCAGATGGTGGGAATCCCAGCAGGCAGGCAGAAGTGAGTCTCAGCAGCGTCTACAGAATAGAATATTTGCTTTTCGTGAAATAGCTCTGAGTGGTACCCACTGCAATCATGGGGTCTTGGAAAGACTGTAGGATCGGATACCATGCTTGGCTAGGTCTCTCATGACTGGCTCTGTTGCTGAGTGTAGGTGGCTCTATGGAGGAAGATGCCATTGAGGCAGACACTTGAACAATAATGTGATGATTTAGTTATTAACTACACCACTCCAACTGTGATCAGGACCCCACTGTAGTAGGTGCTGTACATACATAGAGTAAAAGACAACACTTCCTGAAAGAGTCTATAATCTGAGGAGTCAAGACAGAAAGTAGTATTATCCCTATGTTACAAATAGGGAACTGAGGCACACAGAAAACCCATGGCAGAGGTGGGAAGTGAAGCGTGATCTCCTGAGGGTGAGACAAGTGCTTTAACCATAACAGCAGCCTTCCCTGCTAGGAGTTAATCTGTGATTACTCAGAGTGAATCTTGCATAACACTTCAGGGTCTTGCCAGGACTTGGGATCTGCACCTTTCCACCAGAACACCAGAGCATCTCTGCTGCTGCCATTTTCCTTTGAATACAACAATGGAATATAGAGCGCTAAATAACACGTGTGGTGGATATGTTGTCCTCAATGTTCTGAAACATTGCGACAGCATAGCAGTTTAGTGACAGGCCCAAATTCTATTGTTACTATGATGTGACTTTTGTTGACATCAAAGGCATCTCACAGGAGCAAATGAGGGATGAATTTGCCTCAGTGTCTTTGCTTTATGTGGGTACTCTAACAGTGTGGGTACAGAGCTGTCTTGCTGAGAGACAAAAGATTAACATCTCTCATCTGGTCTTTCAAGAGCATGCCTCTAGATACTGAAGGTTGGACTCTCCCTTTATCTCTACATCTCAATGCAGACATTTTCTGTTTACAGTGACTCATGACCCTGTGAGTGTCACTCTGCCTCATTGCTACTTTGGACTCACTTTTTATAGAGCGCCACACCTTCCTTAATGGCAAAGTGTCATATTTCCACAGCTCCAACATTGCGTGAAATTAAAAGTGGCAGAGGGGCAGGGGAGATTCTCACGGACACTCCTAGGGGGTATCCGAGTTATTCTGGTCTGAATCCCCATGTGTGCATTCTGATTTGGGAATTAGAAGTGCCTGTGTTGGGTTTAATTTATACAGCTTCAAAGAGCCAGACTCCCCTGCCAGTCGTCTTTGCCTTTTGAGTTACGTTGGAAAGGCCTCGGTACTATCATCTGTACCACGTTATCGCCAGAGCTGCAGTGAAGGTTGCCGAAAGGTCCCTCGTAAATAAAAGGCGTCACCGTGTGAAATATTCACCTGTCAGGGCTGAGGCTGCAAAACCTTGTGCCCAGCATGGAACAAAATCAGCTTCAAGTGGAGAAAGCCATCGGGGCTGGGTGCTCCAGGCCCTGGCTTTGGGTTCGTACAGCCCCGAGCGCGCCCTGAGCACCAAGGTGTCCAGCTGAAGCCAGACACCCAAAACAACACGTCCCAGCAAACACCCCGACCCCAGCCAAGGCACCTCAGTGGAGGAGCCTCCCCCAGGGCCCTGTCACCCTCACAGCGTGCGCAGTGGGGGTGCTGCGAGCCAGCGAGCCCTGCATAGGATGGAAGCCACTTGGAGCCAGGGGCTGCAGCAGCCCCTCGGGCCTCACCCCCAGGCTCCTGAGCACCCAGGGCCCGGCCCTGTACAACGCCCCGTGAGCCAGGCAGCACCCCGCTTAGCGAGCTCCCTGCCCCGCTTAGCGAGCTCCCTGCCCCCGACTCGCCGCGCGGCGAGCTGCCTGTGCCGCGCTACAGGTGGAGCAGCGCTGCCCCGCCCCCCGCCGCTGGGGGCCCGCCTCGCCTAGGCCCCGCCGAGCTCGCGGTCACCATGGCAACAGAGGCGCTTCCCTCGGTTCCTCCCGTGGGGCAGGCAGCAGGTTGGGCTGCGCGCGGGGCCCGGCCGGGCGGGGCGGGCTCTCGTGGTGCGCGAGCGGTCGGCTCCCTCCCCCCTTCCCCGGCAGCAGGTTAGGCTGCGCTGAGCGCCCGGCGGCCGCGGGAGGAGGCGCCGCGCTGGGGCAGAGGAGCCCGCACACCCAGGACGCAGGTGGGGGCTCCGCGGGGGGGGGCTGGGCCCTTCGGGGCTTGGACCCGCTGAGACTCGCTCTGGGGGGAGGGGCCGAGCTGTCTCAGCTCCCGCCCCCCGAGGGCGCCATGGACCGGACCCCCGCGGGACCCCGCCCCCCACAGGGCAGGGCACCCAGGCCCCCCTCCCCAGGGGTACCCTGCCCCCCGCCTCACTGCCCCCTCCCCGGGGGCACCCTGCCCCCAAACCTCTCCTCCCCGGGGGCACCCTGCCTCCCGCCTCACTG